AAGTTTGTTGTTTAAAACAAAGTTTGTTGTTTAAAACAAAGTTTGTTATTTAAAACATAGTTTCTTATTTAAAACATAAAGGTTATTATTTAAAACAAAGTATATTATTTAAAGCTTATAAAGTTTGTTATTTAAAATGTAATGTTTGTTATTTAAAGCTAATGAAGTTTAGTATTTAAAACAAAGTTTATTATTTAAAACATAAAGTTTAGTATTTAAAACATAAAGTTTATTACTTTATATTTAAAACATAAAGTTTGTTATTTAAAACTTTGAAATTTTATAATTCAAAACAAAGTTTATTATTTAAAACAAAGTTTGTTATGTATATCGTATAAAGTTTATTATTTAAAACATAAAGTTTGCTATTTAAAACTTAACAAGTTTATTATTGAAAACAAAGTTTATTTAAAACTTATAAAGTGTATTATTTAAAACATAAAGTTTGCTATTTAAAACTTAACAAGTTTATTATTGAAAACAAAGTTTATTTAAAACTTATAAAGTGTATTATTTAAAACATAAAGTTTAATTATTTAAAACAGAAAGCTTATTATTTAAAACCAATAAACAAAGTTTAGTACTTAAACTTTTAAACAAAGCTTATTATTTAAAATTTATGAACAAAGTTTATTGCCTAAAACATACAAACCAAGTTTATTATTTAAATATTATAAAGTTAATAATTAAAATATATAAAGTTTATTATGATCACCTTTAAAGTTTATTATTTAAAACTTATGAACAACGTTTATTAGCAGCATTTCTGCCTGACATTTTGCAGAAACTCTTCAGTAAAGTTTTCAGCTGCAGAGTGAAGAAGCCCTGCGCTCATCAGTGCCCCCCCACCCCCGGTCACTGTGTGAACATTTGTAATTGTTGGGCTGGGTCTCTTTGGACGAGTTTCTCATTTTGTTGTGCACCTGCACATCATGAAGCCGTGTTGCTGGGATGAATGTTTGTGATGCCGTTTTTTTTTTGTTTTTTTTTTTAATGTGAGGCAGGCGAACACTAAATAAAGGGCGTTTTCTTCCCTTCCAACACAAATTAAGTCCTTGCCAGCATGTTCAGAGAGGGCTGCACGCTGCTGCTAATGCTTTCATAATCACCTCAGTTAAGATTTCTCGGCATGAATCCTCACTTTTCAAACACACACTCAGCTTTATTCACTTTATGTCTCATTCAGGAACAAACTGAAAACACAACCTCCCTCATTCACAAAGACTCTGTTACGACGCTCGTTCTACCTTTTTATTGGACCAAAACCTCATGTACCTTCATCCTGTAGTCTCCCTCCATCTGTTCATCTTTACTTCCTGTCTGTCCATCAGCAAAGCTTTCAGCTGCTCAACTGAGACCAAGTTCAGACCAGAACCTCTAGAACCTGAGACAAATACAGGCCTTCATATGAGAAGCACCTTGTTCTCAAAAACTGGTCAGAATTATAAAAAAGGGACCCACGTGATGTCATTCCTTCAGGCCCCTCAGAGTGATGAGGATGATGATGAAGAAGCAGGACGTTTTCTGTCAGGTTTCCTCACCTTAGCCTTCTGAGCAGACCTGGGATCAGTCCTTCAGCTGCACTCTGTCGTTACTAATCTTCTGCAAAGACGGGCCTGTGTGCGTGCTGCCTCCACCCCAGGGTGGATTCTGATTTATGAACCGGTTTAAACAAATATTTACAGCAATCTGACGCCTTGTCCCTTTTTTTTTTTTTATACATTTCCCTGGAAGCTTTTGCTGTTTTTCTTCCTTCAATGACTCTGAGCTAACCTGTGTTTGATGCTACCTCCTGCCCTCTGTCTCACAATGCAGTCAGACTACAGATTACTAATCCTGTTCATTCTCTCCTCCGTTCTGCCCCCATCCCCACCATGGATGGCTAAAGATGAGCCGGCCTGTCAACAAGGTTTGTCCCCTTTCTGTCTCTTAGTTCCCACCGTGAGACGGGCTGTCTCACTGCCTGCCCATCATCATGAACATTAACTCTGCTGAACGTTCAGATTATTGTGACGGGAGTTCCCATCTGCTCCACATGGTGTGGCCCTTAGTCTTCTAGTTCACCGTACAACCAGAAATCACACTGATTACCAGAACAGTTAAATGTTTAACGGAGCAGTTTAGTGTGATCAGTGGAACAGTTCAAAATGTTCAATGGAGTGGGTTAAAGCGTTTAAGAGATAATTAGAATAAACAGAGTAGTCGAAAAGGTTTAAAGGAGACGTTAAACGTGTTGAACGGAGCAGTTAACAGCTGGTAACAAAGGGTTTAAGATGTTTAAAGGAACTGGTGAACTTGGAACAATGAAAAGAAAAGGATTTTAAAAATTTTATGAAATTGTTGAAATGTGTTTTCAAGGAGCAGTTTGAGTAAAAACCAACGTTTTGAGAAGTTTTTGGAGTAGAACAGTCGTGCACGGTTAGCCCTGACCTCACCTCAGCTCCACATTCACCCCAGTCCCTGCCGCTGGCTGCATGCCTCATTGTCCTTTCTACTACGCATGCACGTGCACGCTCACGAGCACGCACGCAGCTGCCTCAGAGGTGCGTGGTGGCCAGTCACCTGGATCTAAGTGCTCCCTGTTGAGCATGGTGCTAATGACGTGTCGGCAGCATGAGCTTTACCTACTTTACATCAGAACTCTGTAAGAATTGTAGCCGGACCCGTTTCTGACCCGCAGACTTGATGTTCTACAGGTTAGCAGAAATTAAATAAATGAATGGATTTAAAATCGTTCCCTGTCAGCTTAAAGTAAAATGACACAGTGAGCCTGTCTGTGCAGTTTAAAGGATTTAGCTAGTCCGTTTGCTTTAGCTTGCACCTGCAGATCACATCCCGTACTGAATCAGCGGTTCAGCCCGTTAGCCTGTAGTCAAATCTGTGAAGCTCCTGGCTGCTAATGTCGGTCGGCTGTCTAAGAAGCTGTCCCACGGGCCGAGCCTGAGCCCGTGTGTGTCTGTGCACATATCTGTCTGTGCTACTAAGTGCATCCCCCCACCCCTCCCTCCAACGCACACACTGTTCTCCTTAACACATTCTCACACACACACACACACACGTTCTGTATGTGTGTGTGTGGTGGTGGGTAAGGTCTAGTCTGGTTACTTTGTGTCACTGAAGACTTAATGAGGCGAATAAGAAGCTTTTAGAGTCAGAGGATGTGGATAATGCGATTCAGGGTCCACTGATGTGTGTGTCTGTGTGTATGTGTGCGTCTTTGCCACCGGCTACAAACATGGCTGTTTGTTTCTGCCTTGCTGCACTTGAACTAATAAGATGTGGGTGTCTCGGTCCTCCCTGTTGGTGTTTCCCTCCAGTCCCTGCAGTGGTGCGCTGAACTGAACAAACTGGTGCTTTTTGTGGGAAGAGCTCACCTGATTACCTGGTTATACTGGTCTTACACCAGTCAAACATAACCCCATCTCCTCAGAGGTGCATTTTACAGCGAGTTAGTCTTTAACTAACTCAAGTGAGTTAGTTTGTCCCTTTTAACCGGAAGAAACCTCCAGCAGAACCAGGCTCAGGACGAGCAGCCATCTGCTCCGACCGGCTGGGGTTTGAGAGGAACAGGAAGGAGAAAGAGACAAACACGGAGTAACGGGTCCAGGTGAACTTTCTATTGGAGGAAAGACAAAAAAACATGTTCAGATAGAAATACTTACAAATACAAACAGATAGAGTAGAGCAGCTATTCAACTGGTGGCCCGGACGCCAAATCAGGCCCACGGGTGAGCTCAGTTCAGCCCATCAGTGGGTTCATTTTTAAATAAAACTAGATTTTAAACTGTAAAACAAACTTAATTAATGAGAATAACTGCTGGATATCTGGCCCCTGAGCTCTTGGCTTTCAGTAACTGTGCCCCCCTGAGCAGTTTAGTTGAACAGCCCTGGAGCAGAGCAAGTAAAGACAGCAGCAGAGTGAGGAAATGTGGTCAATTTGTCCTCCAGCAGTCTAAGCCTATAGCAGCATAACTAAGGGATAGCTCAGTAAACCCAAGCTGACCCCTAACTATAGGATATATCAAAAAGGAAAGACTTGAGCCTATAGAATCTGGAAGTTGGTTCCACAAGAGAGGAGCCTGATAACTGTAAGCTCTGCCTCCCATTCGGCTTTTGGAAACTGTAGGAACCACAAGTAAACCTGCAGTTTGAGAACAAAGTGCTCCGTTAGAAAAGTAAGAAACGATAAGATCTGTGATATAAGATGGAGCTAGGTTGTTGAGAGCTTTGTATGTTAGAAGTAAGATTCTGAATTTGACATGGAGCCAATGGAGAGAAGCTAAAACTGGAGAGATGTGATCTTATCCCATCAACTCTCATTTAAACTCTGGCAGCAGCATTTTGAATCAACTGAAGACTTTTTAAAAAGTGTTTTGGAAACCCAGATAAACCACTGAAATAGTCCAGCCTAGATGTGATAAATGCTTGGACCATGCATCATTTTTAGATGAGATGGTTCTAATTTTAGTGACATTGTGATTTAGTGAGCACAATCCAACAGCAGAGAAACAGTTGTATTGAGGGTGTTTGTGTACTAGAATGTTGAACTCTGCAAAAGACAGATACAATCCAGTAAAACAAAAGATTCCTCGAGCAAACAAATTACTCCAGCTACCAGCAGCGAAAACAGGAAGTGATAATACGTTTTACCCAGAACGTCCTGTCATCAAAACGTTTCAGTCTGGTCCTTTTTGTTTTGTTTCATATGTACACATTTTTTTTTTTTTTTTACTAACAAACGAGTTTATCTTTAATTTGGAGGAGAAGTTTCAGCCTAAAATACTTCTCATTTTTGTATAAATGTGGAATATTATAATAAAAACAAAGATTTAATTTTCTTAGGATAACATAAGATTATGGAACATTTAAAGATGTATCATGTACAATAGGTTTGGACAGAGGGTAATGTTTGACTCTGATGGTATGAACACTGGAACAGATGATCCCTCCCCACCCTCCTTTTGGTTTTCTTCCCTCTCTCCATCATCCCTCGCTCTCCACCACCTGGAGCCAGCGAGCTGTAACACCAGAGGGAAGGAGGGAGGGATGATGAAGGGGCAAGGGACTGGAGAAACAGAGCAAAGGAGAAGCTGTGGTAGACTAAAAAAAGATAAAATACTGTAGGATGTAAAATAAAGATATTACCATTTCAATTAAAACAAACATATAGTTTGTACATTGAATCATGTTTATCCTGTCATCAGCCTGTAGTCAAAAGAGAATGCTTGTAACATGACGATACAGACTGAATATAAAGATGGACGAAGGATCTCGTGAAACCATAATATCTGGTTTTTGGATGCTGCTATTTTATATTTTTGAATCCAGAGTCACTCGGGAAGTGGGTCAGTAAGCCCCTCCCACTGCATCATACAATTATCAAATAACTAACAAAACTAAATGTGTTTGAACATCCTGTACAACAGCAAGTTAAGAACTACAAGAGTTACCAGAAATCAACTAACGGAGTTTGAGTCTGGTTAAATCGCCATGGTAACAGAGTTGGACCTGCTAAATGTTGAAAATATCTCGTTCACTAACGTTGTTTACTCAAAAGAACCACACTCAACAACAAGTGAAGATTTTTAACCTGCATTTTACTTGTGAGGGCTGATTTCAGGATGGTCTACATACATAAACTTAAATGCATCTGCATGAGGACATTGTCACAGAATCAGCCTCCAGCAGTGTCCTCTGCTGACTTTTATACCATTAGCAGTTCAGTGGACGTTCCTTGAAGCTGCAGCATCAACCCACAAAAGCACACAGACATGTTCCATGGTCATCAGAGGCTCTGCAGCCTCCAAGTCGAGATAAGAGAACGTTCTGCGCACGTTCTCATGGCGATGACGCCGAGGAGGCACCGCGAGTTCTCAAGGCAGGAGGAAAATATGTTTCTCAGCCACAATATAAAAACATTCATAACTCTTGACCAATACTTCCCTAACATTAAATCACCATGGTAACAGAGACTGTGTTTATCCACCTTTTTCCTAGCCCCCCATGCTGCCTTGCACGAATTATGAGCACGACTTCTGGCACAAACCAGAACCGGTATTTGTTTATGTGCGAACAGTACGAGCTAATGCAGTTTCTCCGAGCATTGTGGATTTAATTTAAACATGTAGGAACACCACCTGTCAGAGGTCAAACAGGACAATATAATCATACTGCTTCCTGCTGAGGACGAGGGATGGAGAACGACCTGAAGAAGTGGCTGCAGATTACATCTACTAGCATATTTAGCTACTTCATTGATGGTTGCTTCCATTGATGAGGCAATGAACAACCTGAACAGGTCTGAGGCGTGTTAGTATCTACACAGTAATAAGGCCGGTCGTGTTTTGTTCAAAGAGGTGGAACACAATTGTTAAAGCAGACATAGAGCCCATCCAAAGCTTTAAAGTCCTCCATCACTGAGCTTGGGTTAGTTGCAGAGAAGATCGTAATACTGAAGACAAACAAATACTATAAATCTGTGCCCTTCATACACTTGAAATCATACCTGATATTCTTGTCACACTGTTTTCAGTCCTTCTGAGGATCCAGCGTCTCTTCTTCACTGGTTTAATATAGTCCAGCCACAAAGTAGGATGCAGGTTTTCCTGCATCAGCTGTTTGTCAACAAGTGAAATGAGCTCACATCCAGCGTTTTGGGCGGTCTCTTCAAGTTCACATTTTTTAGCCACATTCTTCTTAATTCAGCATCTGTAGGTAGGAGATGGAAACTACACCGCTTTTCACAGGAACTCTTTTTGTTTTGGGTCCGTGTTCAAAACTCTGTTGTTGTAGCCACTGATTTAGTTTGGTCTGGTTGTTCGTGCAGCCGTGAACACAACAGGTACCTGAACTCAGCACGGCTATTTTAGTAAACTTTATGGTTGTTAAATAGATGTGAACAAAACAAAA